TTTTTTTTAGCATCTCGCAGTTTTCTTCCGTCTGTAATCTGGGCAATTCTCACTTTACAGGGCAGTTTTCAAGTAAAACTCTGAAGCATTCTCGCGGTGTGAATGCATCCTGATATGAGCCGAATTCTTGAGACCGCTTTCATTCATCGAACATGGTCTTAAGTCCTGGTCGGGTCTTGGTCTTGGTTCGTCCACCCTTTTCCATGTGCGTCGTGCCCTCCAATTTGTTAGCTCACCACTTATGCATTTGTGTAACCAGTTGGAGCGCAGACTATTGAATGACTACTATTGTGAAAAATAATTTTTGTGAAAAAATGAAATATCTAATGGGACAAAAGTGGGAGAGGGGCATAATGTGTGTTAACGGTTGCAGTGTAAATACTCACACTCACAATCTATACTTTTTCGGCCATAATTAAGCGTTCGATCGCAGTCGAGAGCACAGGAGTAAATGGTGTGCAAACGGATTTTCGAATTGAATTCTCGAAACTCATAAGCTGTGCTCTTCAACCGGGATTGACTTGATTAAGGAACAAGAACCTCTGCCTGTTGGAATGTTGGTGTATGAAAGTTCGTAAATAACTCACAGTGCGAAGGAACAATGTTGGCCTACTCTCATGAACCCCATACTTTAGAAGTAGGTCCAAGCTATCATCTATTTTGCAACAACACTGTGAAGGGAGTAACAAAATCTAGCTGAATTACGTACATTGTGCATCTGCTGTGTGGTATTTTGGACGGCATGGACTGTTATTTAGCAGAATACTCAACTATATAGGCACACGGTTAATAGTATAAAGGGCGATGCACTTTCCCGATGCATTTAGTCCCAACATTCATCTGCGAGGGCGCAGGATCGCTTGTGGATTGAAGATGTCCTATCGCCATTAAGAAGTCGCATAGTGCCGCTAATTTTGGCAATTAGAAGGCGAGGCGCCGCTCTTAAAATCCGTGGATCTGTGCTACTGCGAAGACCTTCGACTCTTATTGAAGCTAGTGGCGGAGATACATAGAGGTAAAAAGGTGGCTAGTTGTCAGTAGCACAAAAAATACCGAACGAATGAGCTACGAAGAGTTCTGGTTGCTGAGACATCGTATACATTGGAATTCCTGTCGACTTCGCGATGCGTCATGTGATTGGCAAGTGGATAGTTGTTGGATTTTGCTCTTCAGTAAAGCTTTGAAACGTTCTCTAGCCGGAGCATTGTCACCCGTCACGTAGCAGTTGTAGCGGACTAGGCCCTCGACCTAGCGGTGGTCTTCAACTGGCCCTATTACAAGCATTGCCTTTTTTTCTAAAAAAGCGGAGGGATTGTTTTTTACTAATCAGAAACGTTTCATTCATGTGTTTTGACCAAGAAGAATCAATTGTCAGAAACATTTTTCCATTCGTTCCATGTCTAGTTTTTTTTTT